GAAGCCAGAACAGCAAGAGGGATCGCTGCGCAGTGAAAGCAGCAATCCCTCTTCCTGTTCTGGCTTCTGGGATAGCTGCGCAGCCTGCATTCGCTCCTTAAGACACACACACATTTCCCCTTACTTTTTAGGAGAGAAAAAGTGAGTCTTATAGAGCAAAAAATACGGTAATTGAAGTATAAAAGCCTGGCACCTCCTTCCCAAAGCCTGGGAAACTTATACCTGTCTTAGAGAGGGAGACGGGATGCTGGACATCTCAGTGTCTCAACATCACTTGCGAGATGTTCCTCACCCCTGCCCCAATCACAAGCTGGCGCCACTTGCCCTAACTGTTCCCCTATGAAAAAATTCACTGCACAGCACTGTCAAATGCACATTTGTAGTTTCACAATTGTTAGTAGTAGTTGAGGAACTGACCAGAAGCCTTCTCGCTTATTATACACAGAGCTCCGCCTTGTGGTGAGCAGCACACATAGAAGTTCATTTTCAGTAACAGTGCAGCGAGAGTTTGATGTTTTGTTTCTAGGCCAGATTCTAAAGAAAATATTTTGGTGGAAAAGCTGCCTAGAATTATGAATATTTGTATTACAGTGGTACCTCGGGTTAAGTACTTAATTCATTCCGGAGGTCCGTACTTAACCTGAAACTGTTCTTAACCTGAGGTACCACTTTAGCTAATGGGGCCTCCTGCTGCTGCCGTGCCGCCGGAGCACGATTTCTGTTCTCATTCTGAAGCAAAGTTCTTAACCTGAAGCACTATTTCTGGGTTAGCGGAGTCTGTAACCTAAAGTGTATGTAACCCGAAGCGTATGTAACCTGAGGTACCACTGTATATGAATATGAATGCAATTGTCTTCTTCAGGTGAAAATTTGCTTCCAGGCCTCCCTGCACCTATGCCTGGTGTTTCTTCTTCTGCTTGGTCTTCTGCTGGTTCCCAGGGATATTTCTATGGATATTTTCTATGGAATGCGGTTAATGGGTTGAGGTTGAACTCCAACAACACAGAAGTACAGTTTCTGGGGGACAGCGGGCGGGCATGTTTGGGGGATTCCCTGGTCCTGAATGGAGTTACTGGGCCCCTAAAGGACCAGCTGTACAGCCTTGGGGTCATCTTGGACTCACAGCTGTCCATGGAAGCGCAGGTCAATTCTGCCAGCTCCATCTGGTACACCAGCTGAGACCCCATCTGCCTGCGCACTGTCTCACCAGAGTGCTGCATGCTCTGGTTATCTCCCGCTTGGACCTGCCTCATATAACTGATCACAAGATGCAGCACATGCACACCATTTGAGTGGCAATGCCCATTAATTTGGGGGGGCAGCCCCCTCAAATATTTTATTGGGGGACTGAAGGGATCTCGGCACCTAGGAGTTGGGGCCTTTGATGATAACCTTTAAAGCTCTAAATAGCTTTGGCCCTGTATACCTGAAGGAGCATCTCCACCCCCATCGTTCAGCCCAGACACTGAAGTCCAGCTCCGAGGGCCTTCTGGCAGTTCCCTCACTGCAAGAAGTGAAGTTACAGAGAACCTTCTTGGTAGTGGCCCCTGCCTTGTGGAAAGCCCTCCCATCAGATGTCAAGGAGATGAAGAACTGTACAACCTTTAGAGGACTTCTGAAGGCAGCCCAGTATTGGGAGTTTTTAATGTTTGATGTTTTATTATGTTTTTAATATTTTGTTGGGAGCTGGCCGGAGTGGCTGGAACAACCCAATCAGATGGGTGGCATATTAATAATAAAATTATTGTTATGATTATTTCAACATATGTTCTGTTTGAAATTTTAGGTTTAAAATTTGGGGAGGAGGAGAATGTGCTTATATAAACCATCAAAGTGTTGCCAGCTCCAGCGGCTGAAGTGAAGAACGCTGGATCTGCAGCAAACCTGTTCAGATGACAAAAGGCACTGGATGTGCACTGAGCGGACTTAACTACATACATAAGCACCCCTAACTATATTTTCTAGGATTCTTTGGGGGAAGCCAGGACTTCTGAAGTGGCAGTGCTTGAAATGTATGGTGTTGATGTGCCCTTTTACAGTAATCTGAAAATAAGACCTTCTGGAAGAAGAAGTAGCTTACTGATGGCACGTTGCCTGCATTTTGGCAATTGTGGACAGACAATGGCATTTGGAAGCGAAAATCACAGTCCCCATAACACCCAGGAGAAAAGAAGCGCACAACAAATAAGGATACTTTACTTTTCACCAGATGTAACTGTAGGGATGTTGCTTGCCCAGAATTGGAAAAATGACAAGATACTTACCAGGTGGACTATTGGATTACGCAGAGATGGCAAGACTAACCGGGAAAATCAGAAATCAGGAGGATCAAAACTTCAATAAAGAATGTGACAAATTTATATCTGAAAGACCACTGTAAACACTTGGACTCTTTGGCAGGTTTCAAATTATTCTTGCAATGATACATAGACTTTGGATATAATTGTTGCTGTTGTTGTTTAGTCGTTTAGTCGTGTCCGACTCTTTGTGACCCCTGGACCAGAGCAGGCCAGGCACTCATGTCTTCCACTGCCTCCCGCAGTTTGGTCAGACTCATGTTTGTAGCTTCGAGAACACTGTCCAACCATCTCGTCCTCCGTCGTCCCCTTCTCCTTGTGTCCTCCATCTTTCCCAGCATCAGGGTCTTTTCCAGGGAGTGTTCTCTTCTCATGAGGTGGCCAAAGAAGGCCTTATAATATGAAGTTATAAAAGTTACTTAAAGAACCCACGGAGGGGAGGAGGGGAGTCTTGAGATTCGAAAAAATCTTGTGCAAATTTTTAATTTTTTTTGTGATTAGGTGTGTGAATCAATCAATGAAAACTGGGATTGACTGGGCATATAATGGATTGGAAAAAGTGAGTTTTTCTTTTCCTTAATTGACAATTATACTCTGCCTTATTATATCTGTCAATTTGGCTAATTCTAAATATTCTGAAAGCTTACATAACTATGCTCCCCTAGTGGGTAACTGATTCCCTTTCCAATACTTAGCCACCAGGATTCTTGCTGCAGATGTCACGTATAAGAAAATTTAGTTTTGTCTTTTGGAATATAGTCGTTTAAAATTCCTAAAAGGTATGCCTCTGGCCTTTTACTATATGATATTATTAGTATTTTCTTTATTTCTTCGTTGATCATGCTCCAAAATTTCCCAATTTCAGGGCATGTCCACCACATATGGTAGAAGGTTCCTTTTTGTTTTTTATATCTCCAGCACTTATTATATGTTTTATTCATTTTTGCCAGCCTTTCTAGCGCCAGGTACCACCTGTGATGCATTTTCATATAGTTCTCTCTTATTAGATAACATGCTGTAAAATTTATATTTTTTGTCCATAATCTTTCCTATTCATTATATTCAATTGAGTGGCCCAGATCTTGTTCCCATTTTTTTAATAGCGTCACCTTTTTCCTCCTTTTCTGTTTTTCCATTTTGTAACCATTTATATATTTTTGAGAGAGTCTGTTGGTTGGTTATAAGATTTCCTTCTCCCATACCGAGATTTTTTTATCAAACCCCTTGAGTTTATTATCCTTCTCAAATATCGTTTTTAATTGGAAATATTCTAACCAATTCACCCCCCTCTCTTTTAATTCTTCAAACTTCTTTACTGTCGGGCAATCCTTTATCTCTTCTATGAGTTCCCCATATGTTAGCCAACTGTCTTTCATATTATTTCTATGCATGGCTGATGACTCTATAGGCGAAAGCCACCAGGGAGTTGTTTTATTTCTTTCCCAAACTTCGAATAGGGCCTTTCTCACCAAATGATTAGTAAAGCCTCTATGTGCTTTTATTTTATCATTATCCAGGTAGCCATGCCACCCGAAAACTTTGTCCCAGCCCTCCAGGTCTAGGATTTCCATATCTGTCCAACATCCAATCTTTCAGCCACGTCATGCATGTGGCTTCAAAATACAGCTTGAGGTCTGGGACCGTGAACCTGCCCCTTTCTCTGGGCTCCATCAATACTTTGAACCTTACTCTTGGCTTCTTACCCTGCCAAATAAAATTAGAAAGATCCCTTTGCCAGCCTTTAAAACATTTTGTCCCAATAATTATTGGGATCGTCTGGAAAAGAAAGAGAATTTTTGGGAGAATTGACATTTTTATCAAGGATAGCCTACCCCATAAAGACAAGTTCAAATTATTCCATTTATTTAAATATCCTTTTATTTCCTTCCACTTCCACCAAAAAGTGAAGTGAAAAAGGAATGGGAGTGCCTAAATGAATATCTTAAAAGCCAAGGTTCGAGGACAGAAATCTGGCGGAGTCTGGAATAACCTTGTGAAGTGAAAGGTTAAGAAAGAGGGATTTATATCTAGATGCTAGGATAGAGATGATAAGGAAAACAGGAAGATACAATGAGAGGTAAAGGAGGTGTTGTGGGATTGGTGGAAGTCAATGTTTGTTTTCCTTTTTAGTGTTTATATTATTAATTTGTAAGATATAGATTTATTTTTATATGCTTGTTTTTGTGTTTTGTGTATTGTTATTTTTCATTTTTTGTTGTTGTGTGGAAAATACTAATAAAATTTACTATTTTTAAAAAATTGACAATTATACTGTTTTAAATGTGGATTAAAAATAAATAAATTGTTGGCTATTTTCCCAGACTAACTACAAGCTGTAGTCAAGGTTTGTATTATTATTATTATTATTATTATTATTATTATTATTATTATTATTATTACCTACATTCAGTCTAAAGTCCCAGGGCAGGTTATAACAGTTTTGCAAGGTAGATTCTCAAAAATCCCATACTCTGAAAGATACTGATCTTGGGCCACTAAACAGGTCGAATGCATCACACACATTTTTTTTTATTGCCCATTTTATGCAAAAATATACGCTAAGTACTTGGTCCCCTTATTGAAGAAGGAGATCCTAAAATATTTCCTACTTTGTTTTGTTAACTGTGCTGTGTACTGATCCATGTATATGATGCACTTTTTCTATGCCAATAAAGGAGATTGATGGGTGGATAGGGTTGCCACCTTTGGTTGGTCAAAATAAAGGACAGGTTGTGGAGGAATTGGGGGGCTAATTGCTGTACCTGGGGCAGAAATAACAAACAAAGCAATCCATTACAATGGTGCATGTGGTTTACAGTGCTATATTCAATAAAAAAACAAAGGTACTATGATTTACAATTGTAAGAAAATTTTGCATATTACATCCATAGCTGGGCTTTGTAATGCTGATTGGTTGGACACAAACCAACAAGAAACATCATAGTTACATGGTGTTCACCCCAAGCAATTGCAAGCTCCCTGAGACACATATCTTTTCAGGATTCAGCTTCAGTTTATTGGCCCACATCCAGCCCATCACCACATTCAAGCACTAGTCTAACATCTCAACTGTTTCTCCTCATTCAGATGGAACAGAGAGACATGTCTAGGTGTGGTCTGTGAGAAGTGAAGCTACAGGGAACCAGGCAGAGGGTCCACTGGCGGAGGAAGAGGAGTGCGGGGGGAGCGCACCACCCCCGGCAGCGCGATCCTGGTCGGGTGCCATCGCGGCTCCCCTCCCCTGCCCGTGCTGGGTGTCACGCCCCTGCAGACGACGTGCTGCGCCCCCAGGATGCGCATCACGCCCCTGTGTGCGGTGCGCCCCACCCCCGTCTGCTCTCCACCCCCTGGTGCCGGAGCATGAGAGGGCCTTATCGGTAGTGGCACCCCCCTCAGTGGGAAGCACTCCCATCAGATGTCAAGGAAATAAATAGCTATACAATTTTCAGAAGACTTCTGAAGGCAGCCCTGTTTAAGGACATTTTTAATGTTAGATGTTTTATTATGTTTTTAATTGTGCTGGAAGCTGCTCAGAGTGGCTGGGGAAACCCAGTCAGATGGGTGGGGTATTATTCTTATTGTTATTATTTATTTTGCACTGTCAAATTCTACAGCTGATCCTCAATTGTGACTTAAAACCAATCTTTTAATAGCCAACATAAAATGACTTAGAATTCCATTTTAGATGTGCTGCCTCTGGATTTCACAAAGAGGTATTTTGATGACAATAGAATAATACCTTTACATAATCTTCTCAGTCACTCAATGACATTTTTATTGTGTGTTCCTAGCAAATAACCAAAACCCACATAATTATTACATTTATCAAACTAAAATATCAGAGTAGGAGAGGGCCTTTCTGGCAAATCCACCTAAGTTCAGCAATGCAGCGTTCAGAGATAATTTTATGTCTTACTGCAGCGCAAGAGTTTCCTTCAGCATAGTCTGGTTCTTTAAATCTGTGGAAGAAAAGGGTACATCTGAACATCAGGACTGAAGTCTGTTACAACTATTTTTTCATATTCTTAATAGAAAGCATGAGTGTTCCCAAAATGTACAATAAGCTGGTTGTATGCATTTGAATCCTCCAAACTTGCATCAAAGTGGAGAGAGTGAAGAAAGTCATGCTGAGCTTGATAGTGGGAGCATCACCACCTTTTTCCTGCCCCAAGACTTTGGGGCCTGGGAAGGAGGATTGCAGCAGTGGTTGATGTTCCACCAGGGATCTGGAAATCAAAACAGTGGTGGAGCATATGCCCGCGGCACGCTCCCAAGAGGGTGATGCACAGAGAGTGCCCTCCTGCGCCACAGTTCAGAGTAGGAGAGGGTTGGGGAAGCTGCTACCCACTCTCCTCCTGCTCTCCACCACCACGTCAGAAGTGACCAAGTGGCAGAGCAGCGCTGCCTCCCCCTTGCCTGCTCTCCTCCCCTGGCACCAGGCACAAGCGCTGTAACCAAGGAGCAGCTCCTTCTGAAGCAGAGCCAGGCTCTGATGAAGGAGCCTGCTGTGGGACGCCTGTCTGCACCCCTCTCCAAATTGTGCCCGGAGCAGTGGCACCTCCATGCTACGCCTCTGAATGAAAATGACCTACCAATTTGCCACCTAGGAAGAATTAGTGAAATGGGGGCAATTGGGCAGATATAGGAACTTGAGAGCAGGAGTTGGCTTGCTTATCCATATTTGGACCTCAGCACATTCCCAACTACATTAAACTCAAACCGGTCTGTTGGCAACCCCAAAATAAATGGGATGGTGGGGGGGCACCCATCATTAACTGCCAATAACTTGCCAGTTTTCCCTTTCTTCTCTCTTCTCTGATTTTCCTCTTAGGTCAGGCTAATATTTTTGGCCAGTTCTTTTTGACCATTTGTGTGTGTTAGGAGTGAAAGAAAGCCTTGGAAATAGAAACAGGGTGAAGTTTTTTTAAGAATTCCATGGAGAAGGGTGTTGTCACTGGTTATGGCAAGGAGCATGAGGATTTTCTACTATTCTTTCACTTTGCATTTTTTTTTTTAAAAAAGTGGGAAGGGTTACACCTCCACTCCCTGCCACTGCGGTTCCATATAGCACTTATAAATAGGGAAAATATTCCATTCACATCCCTAATGATCTTTCCTTCCCCCCAAGAACCAGTGTTCTGGAGAAAGGGGGGAACTTCAATTGAGACCATGAGTGGGGAGCGAAGTGGCCAGTGAATAAAAATAAAAATAGAACTACCTGCATGACTTCATGGTATAGAAACTTGCCATCCCAGACCTTTCCCAATTTCTCAAAAGTCAAAATTGTATGATTTTTTGCTTAGATTAAAAACAATAACAACTCACAGACTCTGATCAAGCTGGAAGCCTGTAATCCACATCCATTTCTTCTTCGATTTTAATAGTGAGAGTCCAATCCAGTATTTTGAATTTTTAGTAATGCTTTCTATGAAATCCTGCATGAGATAATGTGTTTTTTATAAAAAAAATTGTTAAATTATTTTCAAGTTGATAACTTCAGAATAAAGCTTACATTAAAGTAAAATAAAGTAGTAAAATGTGAAAGTTGATATTAATTATAACGAAACATTCACCAAGAACAGTAATCAAAGCAGCATTAAGCATTTATAATGCAGGCCTCCCTATTTACACAAGGGTTACGTTGCAAGGAACTGTGCATTTAAGTGAAATTGTGTATATGGGGAACACCATTGAAAAAGCCTCCAAACACGCTTTAAAGCATCCATGGGGAAAAGCCGCTGAAAGGCCATGTGGAATGGGGGGAAAACAAGGGGAACACCAGCTCCTCCTCTCCCACTGCTCCACAACCAACCTCACCTTCCTAAAGAGTCTTTCTAAATAAAAAGAGGACTTGGGCTACAGTTACAGGGATTTGCTTGCAACGGGTACTTTGGTTCTCACTAGTCAAGCTCCCCAAGGCCTTCTCTAGACACTGATGAACTGGCCGTGGGTGGGAATGGGATGAACTACTAAACAAGGCCCCACACTCCACATGCTTCTCAAGTCACCAACCATGTTATCATTGCAGAGCTACTAAGCTAGAGTTAAGCTCAGTTGGACTCAGGCTTCCTTCAGAATTAACATGCATGCGAATGCATTGCCTGAAATATGCAATTGTCCCCTTACCAGCTCCTCCTTGTCTTGGATGACCAGCAGTTGAGAATCCCTTGTTGAACAGTCACGTTGGCTCTCATTCCAGCTTTTAATATTTTCTGATGGCCAGTAGCACTTGTCCCTGTGGAGCTGCCATTGCAAAGGGCACTCTTTGCAAGGGAATTATCTGTGGAAGGAAAGACACTTAATGATTATGACTGGGCCTCCATTTTGATTGTATAAACATAACTGCTCTGCAATGGTAAAGACCCAGTGTCACTAGGCTGAGTGAAGTTGTCCAGTAAATTGTTGGTTTGCAAGGTGCTCTTTGAAACTCCTCAAAGTTGGGGTCCAACAACTTTTTATGTTATTCACTTTTTTTCTTTTCTTTTTTCTTTTCTTTTCTTTTCTTTTTCTTTCTTTCTTTTTTTTTTTTAAGTGTAGTTACATTTGCCACATTTATTTTGAAGGAGGAAGAGCCCTGATCCAGATTACGCTCCCAATTTCCACCAGGTCTCAGGGCTCACCCAAAAACATGCCCTCTGTTTGAGCCAGAAGGGTTTTTTTAGGGGAGAATGGGGGGAGGCGAGACAATAGCTGTCAGGTGGGGAGATACTTTTTATGGGGAACAGGCGTGCAGCTTGATTCAGATTGGCCCCCTTTAAAGCTTCTTTTATAGTCGCGATCCAATTCAGTCCTCCCTGCACACTCAAAATGCCTTTGAGTATAAAAACATACAGAGATCAAAGTACAGATCTCTCACATCATGCTTAGTTTAGGCCTTTTGCAAATGCAAGTTTATTACTCGCCTAGTTTTTGCATCTGAATGAATTCAGAGAGAGGAAACTGGAGCCCTCTAGAGGACAAAGATGGAGATGGAGTTTACAAGACAAATTGCAGCCTTACATGTCCAAGTTGGTCGCCACAGTCTGTCTCATGGTAGCTCCGTGTTGACAATACTGTGGAGAGGTGGGTTTTTTTGGGGGCTGTCAGTCTCCATTATACCTGAGTCCCTAATAATTCCTGGTGCCCTGGATCCAGAAAAGGTTAAAATCTAATGGAGGATTCCATATTAACTATTCCATATTAATAGCCTTAAATGCTGTCCTTGGTATAGCAAAGGAAGTGGCTTTGTGCCAGAGGGAAAATGTGTGGGTCTCCCTTCCCTCACCTGGCTCTTAGTGAGAAAGGCAATGGCCGGAGTTGAGTATGAAGTTAGCTCTAGAATGAAACCACCAATGCTTGATAATTCAGGACCATAGGGAGCGGCCCTATTCTTAGGGAGATCACTGGGTTCCTCTAGCTCAAATTTTGTCTACACTGACCAGCAGCAGTTTGAGACACCAGGTATGGAATCTGGGACTCTACCACCAAGCTATGAGAACACCACCTGGAGTCATGTGTCCAATTCTAGGTGCCACAATTTAAGAAGGATTTTGACAAGCTGGAATGTGTGCTGCCACACAGGAGATGGAGCAAGCCTGTTTTTTTCCTGCTCAGTAGGGTTGGACTTGAAACCATGGATTCAAGTTACAAGGAAAGAGACTCTGACTAAATATCTGGAAAAACAACAGTAGAAACTGTTTGACAGTGGAACGGTCTCCCCTGGGAGGTTGTGGACTCTCCTTCCCTGGAGGTTTTTAAGCAGAGGCTGGACGGCCTTCTGTCATGGATGCTTTAGCTGAGATTCCTGCATTGCAAGGATACTGTTGGGGTTCCCCTCAGCTCTACAATTCTATAAGTCTATGATTCACCCACAATGAATGAGTTTCTTTGCAGAAGCTTTTATGCCTCAAAACAACATAGATGTGAACTGAAAGCAAGTTCTTACATACAATTGCTATGCTTAAAAGAGACAGCAGTACAATATATCAATTCTACCTGAGGACCTATTCTGATTTTGATTGCAGAAGTTGAGTCTTAGGAAAGCCTGAAACTTGTCTGTTGAGGCACTGCATCCACCATTGTTCAGCACAATTTTTTCCTTTTCAGGTTCCAGCTGCAAAGCTGCCCCCACAAAACAAATAAAGTCATTAAAATGAATGGACATAATGTTAAGGCACAAATCCAAATTATGGAGGCCAAGGAATGGGGAGAAGAAGATGGATATGATAAGATAATGAAGGCAAGCTGCAAAAGAGACCAGGACACTTGTATATTTACTCACTGTGAAGAGGAGGGAATTTGGGAGAAACATATTATCATGCAGGGATGTAAGTAAACACACCTGCCCAAATTCCTCCTATGCAAACATTAGGGAGTCCCTGCTTTCTTTAGACAAAAATATGTGGCAATGGGATTTCTATCAGCATTTTTAAGGACAGAAAGATTTTGAAGCTATTTGCTTTCAGAACAGAATATATTGTTGCAATTGTCCTATTCCTCCCAAAACCACAAAACCAGGAAGCATCCAAGAATAATGTGCAAAAATATACCTCAGAGATGCCAGGAAAAAGGAAGAGTCCTTTGCAATTTAAGCATACTGCCAAAAAAATAACCTGTGGTTCTTGGAATCTGTGAGATATTTCTCTTTTTGCACTGTATTCCCCAAGCACTGAGAAGATCCAAAGGTTCAGGGCTTCCTAATTTCAGCTTCCTTTGGAAGAAGGTGCCTTCAGGCTTACAGCGTTTTTGTAATAGTTGCATTTATTTACAAATATACAGGATGAGCAGAAGTGACACACTTCTTCCACTTTTTTCTGTCAAAATCTTTATCTGGGCTGCATCTTGGCCTAACACAGACACCAGCTCCCTTCTTCTGATATTCACCAGCAAACCATTACAGTATTAACATAATCGGGAAGAACAGCTTGATATTCAGGCCTCAGATACCCATTTTTACCTCAGATTTTGGAAGTGTTTTCCTCACACCATCAGAAGTCAAGGAAATAAATAACTATCTGACTTTTAGAAGAGATCGGAAGGCAGTGGCTCCCCATTTGTAGAATGCTTTCCCCGGGAGGTTCAGCTAGTGCCTTAAAGGGAAATCTTCAATTAGCAATATCACCCACAATGCTATCCTATGGGGAAACTTCAGATAATCACTAAAAATCAGCCGTTTCACTTATCTTCCTCATTTCAATGGTTCTTTACTCTTCTCAGGGAGGGGGAGGGGAGGGGACAGGAACCACGATGCGGCCAGTCTTCAGTCCGCCATTATCCTTCAGATGTGGTGTAACAGACTTCTGACAAGCACAAACAGTTCGAACAAGACTGAGTGTATGTGGGGAGGGGGGCTTGTTTAATTTCACTGCACACAGGTGGTGTAGTGACAATAAAGGGTTATTATTATTATTATTATTATTATTATTATTATTATTATTATGTGCCACCACATACACCAGATACACCTCCCAGATGTCAGACCAGATATTACCAGTCAAGATAAGGAGGGCAGGTAGGGTGAGGAAGGTGTTATCGGAATCGCAAAACCCCACGTGAAAAACTCATCTCCAGAATGGAATGCAACCTGGCCTGAACAAATAAAGGTGCTAAGTCGTATTTTCATGACAAAAGGATATGGATGATTGAGAAGGGCATGTCTGGATCTCAGATTTCTGTCTGACTTCACTCCTGTGGTACGGTGGTGGGGGAAAAACCCCAGTAGCTTTCCTTTTGTCAATTATAGGAACAGAACTACTAAATCTGTACAGAAATTTATTCATGTATGCGACTACAGCGGCAAGAATGTTACTTGCCCCAAAATGGAAAGAATAAGAAATGCCAGCAAAAGAAGAATGGCTACAAAAACTTACGGAATATGCAGAAATGGCAAAACTTACTGGAAGAATAAGGAATCAAGATAACAAACTTTAATTAAAAAAAATAAAAGAATGGAAATGGTTCATTGAATATTTACAACCAAACTGTAAACAGATAAGAACATTGGCAGGATTGTTGTAATAACCTGCAGTTTTATAAGAGTATATATTAAAAGTGCTTATCCATATTTGGACCTCAGCAACATCTCTAATATCAGTCCCTTGCTACCCCTTTCTCTGCCTGAGAATGCTGGCAACTTAATTGGAACCAGTAGAAAAACCAATGCCTTAATTGCACATCTGAACTCCAATTGCATGATTTTTTGCTTAGGTTAAAAACAATGAGAAGAACTCAGACTCTGATCAAGCTGGGAGCCTGTAATCCATATCCATTTGTTCTCTGCTAATGATAGTGAGAGTCCGATCCAGAATTTTGCATTTTTTGTAATGTTTTTTATGAAGTCCTGTATCAGAGAAAATGCATTTTTGAAAATGATATTTCCTGATTGTCAAATTGATGGCATCAAAATAAATTTTAATATAAACTCCACTATCAACCGCACCCTTCTGAAAAGACTTTCTAAATAAAAAGAGGAGTTGGGCTACAGTTACATGAATTTGCTTGCAACTTACTGCTTTGGTTCTCACTAGTCAAGTTCCCCAAGGCCCTATCTAGACACTGATGAACTGGCCTTGGGTGGGAATGGGATGAAATACTAAACAAGGTCCTGCACTCCACAAGCTTCTCAAGTCACAAAGCATGATACCATTGTCGAGTTACTAAGTTAGAATTAAACGCAATTGGACTCAGGCTTCCTTCATGCATTGCATGAAATATATCATTGTTCCTGACCATCTCAAGTTTGTCTTGGATGACCAGCAGATGAGAATCCCTTGTTGAACAGTCATGTTGGCTCTCATTCCAGGTTTTAGTATCTTCCGATTGCCAGTAGCATTTGTCCCTGTGGAGCTGCCATTGTACAGGGCACACTTTGCAAGTGGAATTAACTGTGGAAGGGAAGATAGACACATAATTTAATGATTCTGACTGGCTCACCATTTCCAATGTAGAAAGACATTATGTACTCTGCAACTGCAGAAACCCAGTGGCTTTAGGCTTACTGACGCCAATAGTACTTCAGTAGCCACAACCTCAATAAGCTAAACTATAGTAGTCCCTCCAAAGTGGTGGGTTATTTCACTCATCCTTTTGCTTTATTTATTGACTGAAAAGGTGATTGATCAGTTGGGGTGGGTGGGTAGCAAAATAATGCTTGTAGCAGAGGGAAAGGGGCAGCTAGTCACAGAAAATGAGTTAAAAGTCTATAGCCAATTGAAGTACAGTCGTATCGAGGAAGTCAAACAGAATCCGTTCTGGAAATCCGTTTGACTTCCAAAACATTCAACTTCCAAAGCCTGGCTTCTGATTGGCTGCGAAAGCCCCATCGGACGTTCAGCTTCCGAAAGAATGTTCAAAAACCGGAACACTCACTTCCGGGTTTTGATCATTCGGGAGCCGAGGTATGACTGTATATATTTGGACCAAACCACATGTTTCAATACATCCATTTGTAACATTATTCTGACTGTTGCTTCCTTACTGCAAAACTTATTCGTGACGGGGGAACTTGCAGTATGAAAGTGGATTTTGTCCCCATTGGGATTCCACAGTTACCTATATTTGTTTTTAAAAAAAGGCCTGGTATTCCCTGGAGAGGGGAAAACACGTACAATATATAAATTTTTACCTGAGGGCTTGCTCTGGTATTGGTTGCAGAGGCTGCGTCTTAGGAAAGCCTGAAACTTGTCTAAACAGAGATTGCATCTGCCAGCATTTACTCTGGTTTCTCCTTTCTCAGTTTTCAACTGCAAAGCTACTCCTCACCAAACAAACAAACAAACACACACACACACACACACACACACACACACACACATTTATTTAAATAAATAAGCATCATGTTAAGGCACATAATCAAAATATGGAGGCCCAGAAATGGAAATAGAAGATGGATACAATTAGATACGGAGAGCAAGCTGCAAAAGAGACCTGCCACAATTCCTCCCACAGAAGTATGAATCCATCTTGGCCTTCTTCAGAAAATCACATAGTAAGGGGAATGATGGCAGCATCTTTACGAATATAAAAGTATTTATGTTATCTGCTTGGTTGCTAAACAAAATAGACAAAAATAACTCTCCACAGTGTTGGAGAAACAGTGGGAATGATGGAACACTTATACATATCTCTGGGAATGTCCACAGATTAAAAACTTTTGGTTAAAAGTATTTCAGGATAGGGAACAAATTACATTTCAATCGATTGCTTCAGATCCCAAATGGCACTACAGTCGTACCTTGGATACCAAATACCTTGGTACTCGGACGTTTTGGCTCCCAAACGCCGCAAACCCGGAAGGGAATGTTCCAGTTAGTAAACATTCTTTGGAACCCAAACGTCTGACGGGGCATCTGCAGCTTCTGATTGGCTGCAGAATCTTCCTGCAGCCAATCGAAAGCTGTGCTCTGGTTCATGAACGTTTTGGAAGTCAAACAGACTTCTGGAACGGATTCCATTTGACTTCCAAGGTACAACTGTACTTTCAATATTTGTGGATGAAGCACACACAGTTTAAAAGCAAGAATACCACATATATAGAATCAATTCAAATCCAATACAGATAACGACTGGGACATTAGAAGATTATGTATTAACAAGTAGTCTTATTTTTAACGTGTGTTAATATGCTCTAATTTTCCCCATTTTAAATTCCTTGAGGGATTTTATCCCACTGCTTGGTAAGCTGCTGGATAATTCTACTGAATCTGGGAGACTCTGGGGTTGATAGTCAGGAGTCTCATCTTCTGCTGCTATTCTGAGAGCTGCCATACTGGGCCAGACCAAATGTTTATAACCTGCTGACTGGGCTGGAGCTGATGGAAGATGTTAGACAATCATTCTGTATGTGCTTTTATTGTACGGTAAGCCACTTCAAGTGGAATTAACTGTGGAAGGGATGCTGGTGGCGCTGTGGGTTAAACCACAGAGCCTAGGACTTGCTGATCAGAAGGTCAGCGGTTCGAATCCCTGCGACGGGGTGAGCTCCTGTTGCTTGGTGCCAGCTCCTGCCAACCTAGCAGTTTGAAAGCACATCAAAGTGCAAGTAGATAAATAGGTACTGCTCCGGTGGGAAGGTAAACGGTGTTTCCGTGCACTGCTCTGGTTTGCCAGAAGCGGCTTAGTCATGCTGGCCACATGACCTGTACACCGGCTCCCTTGGCCAATAAAGCGAGA